AATACTTTATATTTGTTACCTTATCATCACCAAAATCATCATGACCATAGTGGGATGTTAAAAAAAGACTGTTAAAGAGGCCAAGATATGCTGCTCTCTTGAGTTGCTGGTGGTTATAAGAAGGTACCCATGGGCCCTTCCGTACAGGGGTTGGAAGGAAGACAGAGATGATGTGACTATAGCAGGGCATTGATCTTCTGCAAGCCTTCCTCTGGCGTTTGTGGTGCCTGTGTGTTTTATCAGGGTTGATCCTGAAATTAGGGCTTCCTGAGAAGACAGGATCATGTCTGTCACTCAAAAATTGCCCTAGGCAAGGAAATTTTAGGGCTTCGTTTTGGCTTTTCTCCTCCCCAGGATTTTTTTTTTCCACTTAGAAGATATTACAACGTGGAAAAAACTTTTTAAAAAGTAAATCACCGTGATCCATACACCCAAGTGGGTAGATGTTTTGGTAGTTGCTGCCATCCCATGGCTGCATTTTTACACAGATGTAAACCTTATTTATTGTATCATGAACATTTTTCTGTGTTGCTACGTAGTCTTCATAATGATTTTTCATGAAGATATGACAGTTTCATGAAGAGGATTCATCATCCTTCACTAAAATATACCCACTGTTTTGCAGTGCAACAAATCATGAATATAATTTTTTTGCTCCTAATGATTAATTTCCTTGGGATATACTTCCTAGAGTAGGAATTTTCTGTCAAAGGATAGGAATGCCTTTGTGGCTTTATTTGTAGCATTTTGCAGAAATAAATCATATAATCCCTTTTGTATATTAATCTTTATTTCATCAAAAGGCAGCTGTTCAGGGATGTGATCAAATAAGTGATGAAGTGTTTGAGACTAATGCTTCAATAGATCACTGATAAATTTTACCATCTGAAAATTTGGAAACCATGATTTTCCCTGGTTAGTTTTCTCCCAACTCTCACCACCCCTTCCCCCAACGCCAAGTTGTCCTCAGTTCTTTTGGAGGGAACTCCCAAAGTCTTGAGTCTTTTCTCAGAAATTCATTCTTTATTTACTTTTGGAGTTAGGACTTGTTTGCATATGTAAAACCAAGACCATATTGTTGGCAGATGCTGGGGTACATATAAAAAGTTGAGGCTTTTGAGTCATTTTTACAAAACAGGACACAAAAGATTTTCTCAGGAATTTAAAGAAAAGGCATTGAAATAAAGATTATGGGATTGGGTTTCTAATACAGACATTTCACTTTTGTGTTCCTAGTCAGTTTGTTTTCAACTCCAGAATTAGGGACTCTAAAATGAGGAAAGAGTAGAGGACTAAGAGATAAAATTTTGCAGATTCATCATCTAATCCAGAAAAACAAATACACAGAAGGAGTTAGAATAAATAACGAAACAAAAACTCAATCATTTATGATCCCATCTACTAGCCTTAACAGTACATTTTTTCCCCCTTTCTTCAATAGGCTTCTGTTTAGTTTTTGTCTGAAGATAAGAGTAGCTTAAAAGTAATTGTTTCCTATCAGCATTTGATAAAGTCCCCTTCCCGTTGGGGAGCTGCCCAGATGTGATGGCGCTTGTTGAAAGCGAATTGTGTTTTCGCATTAAATGCTTTTATTACTAAAAAAAAAAAAAAAAGAAATTGGTGTAGTTTCTAGTCTTTCTAGAAATGATAAAAACAGATGAGAGCTTCTGGTTCAAATTGACTAGCTTAAACTAAAAGGCTGGATTATTTAGCCAAGTGAATTCTGAAATCTGTAATAGTACCTGCAAGTACAGTGAGGGGAAAGTGAGTTCTGAGGTCCTGATCTTGTGCCTGCATCAGGGCAGCTTCTGTAGCATTCCAGTTCAGTGAGGATGGGCGTGGCGGGGATGCTCCGGAGTCCAGGGCACATGGTGAGCTGGGGGTGGGAGTGGCATCTGCTGCTGCTGGTGGTGTCGCTTACCTGGTCGGAGACTGTGACAGCTGTGGGGAGACCTCTTTAGGTTCTCCACCACTCCGGGCTGCTCTCAGGGTGGCTCTGAGCCAGGTGGGCAGCTCTAGGCAGAGGGCCTCAGGTTTGAGCAGGAGTGAGTGACAGGTGGGAGTGTGGAAATGAGAACCTGGGGCTAAGAGGCTTAGTTAGCCAAGTTCCGATTTCTGGGACAAGCCAAGGCCTTTGGTTGGTGGGAGGGAGGGGATGGCACTTAAAAAGGTATGGGAAGGATAGAGAAGTTTTGTCGTGGTACTGCTTTCACAAACACCTCTATCACGGGGTTCATAATCGTACATCCTCCAGTTCTCTAAAACCTTGACCTTAACTCTAGCTCTTGCCAGTCAGTCTTTGTGGCCCATCTGGAAAGTGAGGGTGAGGCTAGTATGTTAGAGTGGAGGTGGAACTTGAAAAGTGCTTCGTAGCGACCAGAGCCTACCCTGATTATGTTTTTTATCTCAGGCTCCTGGTGCTGGCCTGTTCAGCCCCATTTATTGATTGACTGATGGCTGTGCCACATGGCTTGCAGCATCTTAGTTCCCTGACCAGGGATTGAACCCAAGCCCTCAGCAGTGAAAGTGAGGAGTCCTAACCGCTGGACTTTCAGTGAGTTGCCTGTTCAGCCCCTTCTTATGTGAAATTTCCAGGCTTGGTGGTCAAGGGCTCAAGACTGAGAGTGCCTTTCTTACTTCCTCTAAAACAGTGGTTTAAAAATTACATTTTAGTTTGTTTGCTGTGCTATTTTCCAGGTCTTTGTACTTGCATTTTTTAATTTTTATTGTTGAGAAAAATTACATTTTAAGGTTTGAACCTTCAGTAACCCTTTTAGTGGTGGTATGCATTTTTAACTCAAGTTAACACATTAAGAATTTGCTTTGCTTTATGTTTAGGATGTTATTTTGTTTTGTTTTTTCCCCAAGAAAAAGGTTAATACCTTGTATATTCTTGTCAAGACTCAAGTCTTGGCTAGTTTTGGGATTATGGGTCAATTGCTTCACTCCCCTAAATCCAGATTATGGGATTGGGGATTAATTCCTTAATTTTTCCAAGCTTGTGTCGCCTGTCTGTGAAGCAGGGACAATAATTCAGTCCTCACATCAGGTGATGATTAAGCCAGGGCTGGGCTGTGAGTTGTCATAGTAGCAGAGCTGTGACTTTTGACTGCATGTCTATGGTAATTCTTTTCCCTTCAGCCAAACCTAGCACAGGGCTGGGCGTGTGTAGAGATTCTTGTTAAATTGTACTAAACCAGATTTCCTAGGCCAAGGTAAGAAAGAAGGAAAATATCATCAGGTTGCATTAAGCCTAAGCCAGTGGGTCTGAAGCCTAGGGGCTAGAGGGGCTGCAGCCAAGGGGGCTCTGGGGTTCCTTGAGGTTCAGTGGGGGTGGTCTCTGGATCAGAGATAGCTATTAGGAGTAAGCTTTTAAAAATTTATTTATTTTTAGCTGAAGGATAATTGCCTTACAATATTGTATTGGTTTCTGCCATAAAGCAACATGAATCAGTCATGGGTACACATATGTCCCCTCACTCATGAAACTCCCTCCCACCCACTTTCCATCCCCCTAGGGTGTTACAGAGCCCTGGTTTGAGTTCCTTGCGTCATACAGCAAATTCCCATTGGCTATCTCTTTTCCATAGGGTAGTGTATATGTTTCCATACTCTCTCCATTCATCCCACCCTCTCCTTCCTCCCCACTTCCTGCATCCATAAGTCTGTTCTCTGTTTGCATTTCCACTGCTACCCTGCAAATAGGTTCATCAGTACTATCTTTCTAGATTCCATACATATGCACTAATATACAATATTTGTTTTTCTCTTTCTGACTTACTTCACCCTGTATAATAGGCTATAGGTTCATCCATCTCTTTAGAACTGACTCAGATGTGTTCCCTTTAACGGCTGGGTAATATTCCATCGTATATATGTATCATAGCTTCTTTATCCATTCATCTGTCAATGGACATCTAGGTTGCTTCCATATCCTAGCTATTGTAAATAGTGCTGCAATGAACATTGGGGTACATGTGTCTTTTTCAATTTTAGTTTCCTCAGCGTATATGCCTAGTAGTGGGATTGCTAGGTCATATGGTAGTTTTATTCCTACTTTTTAAAGGAGTCTTCATATGGTCTTCCATAGTGGCTGTATCAATTTACATTTCCACCAAGAATCAATATTGAAAATTACTCTACTACTAAATGCAATCTACAGATTCAGTGCAATCCCTATCAAATTACCAATGGTATTTTTCACAGAACTAGAACAACAAATTTCACAGTTAGTATGGAAACACAAAGACCCTGAATTGCCAAAGCAATCTTGAATAAGAAGAATGGAGCTGGAGGAATCAACCTTCCTGACTTCAGACTATACTACAAAGCTACAGTCATCAAGACAGTATGGTATTAGCACAAAAGCAAAAATATAGGCCAATGGAACAAGATAGAAAGTCCAGAGATAAATCTGTACACCCGTGGGTACCTTATCTTTGACACAGGAGACAAGAATATACAATGCAAAAAACATAGTCTCTTCAGTAAGTGGTGCTGGGAGAACTAGACAACTTTGGTGTAAAAGAATGAAATTAGAACACTTCCTAATACCATACACAAAGATACTCTAAAAGTGGATTAATTAAGATGAATTAATTTAGATTAAGACTTAATGTAAGACCAGAAACTATAAAACTCTTACAAAAGTAAGTTTTGATTGGCCCTACCTGGCCTCCCTCTGCTCTGCCCTCCTGTCTTCATACCAGGGACTACAGGTCCCTTTGTCATTCCTGGATTTATATTTGAAAGTGTTACAAAGCAGAAACCTGCCACTTTCTATTCAAGGACTCCCAAGTAATTGCTCAGTGTTTATTTCTGTTTCTCCTCCCATTCTAAACCTGCCTATAGGATTTCATGATCCTTTAAAAACCATTCTTGAGAGCACCAGCACCAACACTGTAGATCTTTCACATATTGGCTTTTGCTGATTTTTCCACTTCTACCCCATGTCGTCCGAAACTCATCCTTATTTTTCCCCCCTTTTCTTCCTGATTCAGAAGTTGGAGGGACCAGTCAAGCTCCGAACAGTTCGAGAAGCACCGACAGACTGTGTCTGCCCCCCAGGTAAGTGGATGTTCAATCCTTGCTGGCTCCTGACTTCTAGAGACCTGGCCTTCTCTCTCCTGTCTGCTCAAAACTGCCAAAGCCATGGTCAAAAGAATCATCTCAGGTTTCAAGCTATCTGTGGTACCTTGTGGATCATCCTTTCTTCCTACATCTTCGGCGGTAGGTGTGTCATAAATATTCAGGCAAAATTAACTGACTTGGGTAGATGAGGACAGTGGTATTGGTGGAGGAGCTAAAAACTCTTTGAGATGACTAATATTAAAGGCTCAAATGCTAGGAAAGTAGCAGCCATCCCTTTTTAAAGATGGAGGAAAAAAAGATGGAGAAACAAGCATGAACCATCCACACAGTGTTGACGTTGTGTTCTGTTTCAAACATAAGGGGGACGACAGATGGAATAATGGTACAGGAGGAGGAAAGGAGCTGCAAACATGGTCTGATTTGTTCAAATAACCATGTCTCTTGGATTTTGGTGGTATAGACCAGGGTGGCTGTGACTGGAATTGAGGATTTGTTGGTTCTTAGTCCATGTGACTCAAATCCCAATCCATATTGGGTCTTCTGGTTGTCCTCATTAGAGCTCTGTACATATTATGATTGAGAATTTAGGGTGTAGTCTCAGCCCCACTGTTTTTAGGGCTTAAAGTTATCATCTCATAGAACAGTGTATAATGCCAGTGAGTGAGTGAAAAATCATAACATTTCCCAGACATCTCACCATGCCAGACAAGGTGAGAAAACAGGAGCTGAACCCAGGTGCCCTGTTCCTTGCTATCATGCCTTCCATTAGACAAATTGCCTGGCATTTCTGAAGCCATTTCACCTGGTCTAGAAACTAAGCTTACTGATGGTTGTTATCTCCAGGTTGGGAGATACCCTGAGATTTGTACAAAGGTGGACCTGTGCTGTGGAAATTCAGTCTCTGGGGACCCAGTGGGGGTTGAGCTTGAGCTAGCCTTTGATAGGAACTCTGAGAAGGAAATGGCAATCCACTCCAGTATTCTTGCCTGGAAAATCCCATGGACAGAGGAGCCTTTCAGGCTACAGTCCATGGGATCTCAAAGAGTCAGACACCACTGAGCGACTTCACTTTCACTTTCTTTCTGAGGTTTTAGTAGGATGGAAAAGGACATGATAAGTAATGACATCATGAGCAGATCAGGAAGTCAGAAGTTGCAGTTCAGTGGGGGAAAAAATTCCAGTTCCATCAATGAATTTCTGGCTGATCTGAAAAATGTATAAAATAATCCCTTTTGTTCCTTCCCTGTTCTGAGTATTGTATGGATGTAAAATCATGTGAATTATGTAGATGAGATTTTTCAAAACTAGGAGTCACTGGGAATTCCCTGGTGATCCAGTGGTTAGGACTCAGCACTCTTACCACTGAGGGCCTAGGTTCAATCCCTGGTTGGAGAACTAAAAGCTCACAAGCTGAGCAATGTGGCCGAAAACAAACAAACAAACCTGGGAGTCACAATGCATTTATGAGACATGAAATCAGTTATGTGGGTTGTAGCCAGTGTTCTGAAATTTTGAACTAACAGAGATTGGAATAAAAATATTGAAGTTTTTGTTTCAGCTATTTATATATGCAATTGCCGATGTTAAATGGGTTCCTTGCTGTGGGTTGCTGACTGAACGTTTGAAAATCATCGATACAGATGATAGATGGAGAGGGAGAAGGGAGGCAGTGAGGGGACTTGGAGCTCCCAGATATATCCAAACCAGGTCCAAATCTTGGTCAGCCATTCACTGTTTGTATCAGCAAATGATTCCAATGCTGGAGTGGGCTCTGCAGGCTTTTCTGATGTTGTGGAGGAAATACAGGTCAAAGGCCAGGACCTGGAGACAGTCTTGTGTCCTGTCTTCCCTCAGGGACTCCTGACCCACCAAGAGGGTCTCTTGAATGAGCATGGAGGCTGAAAGCCGGTCAGAACCATGGTGACCTGCCCTCCTCTCTGGTCATCACTGTTCTGTCATTCATCGTCCGAGGGGCTTGTGTCTGTAACCAGGCCATCCTGGCAGGTGAGGTCAGCATAGCCCAGGGGGTGTGGCATCACAGCCTGTGTCAGGCCCCAGTACACACCCGTGTCCACATCTGCTTTTTCTCTCCTGTCATCTTGAGCTGGAGGATTGATCTGAGCCCTTCAGACTAGAACCTTTTATCAGTGTGAAACCCCATAGGCTAGCACATTCTCTCTGCCATAAGAAGCACAAAGACTGTTTCCTCCAATACCAGAAGCTTAACTCATTCCCTTTCTCTCTGGCTCTGATCTGCCCTCCAGAATTTTGGCGTCTGGACACGGAGACCACCCTCTGTAACTTGGATCCCCATCTCATTTGAGATGCCCACGGATCCCCCTGGCCCAGTTCCTTCCCACGGCCCAGGGGACAGTGTAGTCTTTTGTCAGATCCTAGGATGCAGCAGGCAGATAAGCCAGGCCAGAGAAGGGGGCGGCTCTTCTGTGTGTATTGCCCATTGTGAAGTGGGTGCTCGGGGAGCTCTGAGGCTGAAAGGAGGGGTAGGCTTTGGGCTGGAAGGTCAAGATTCTTCTCTCACTGGAGTCAGTGGTGGGATGAGAGGCTGAACTGTGCTCTGAACTAGCCCTGTGACCTCAGGCAAGTGAGAGGCCCTTGAACTCTTTGTCTATAAAACAATATAGCTGAGGTTGAATTGTGTCCCCCCAGAAGATATGTCCCAATCCTAACCCCTGATCCTTGTAAATGCGACCTTACATGGAAATAGGGTCATTGCAGACCTAATTAAGGATCTTGGGATGAGGTCATCCAGGATTTAGAGTAGGCCCCCAAACCAATGACGGGTGTTCTTATAAGACACAGAGGTTTAAGCAATTTGAGACACAGAAATACCCAGAGGAGAAGTCCATGGGAAGATGGAGGCAGAGGCCAGAGTGATGCTTCTGCAAGCCCAGGAAAACCCAGGATTGTCAGCAGCCACAGAAACTGGAGAGAGGCATGGATGCAGTTCTCCCTCGGAGCTTTCAGAAAGAACTAGCCCTGCCAACACCCTGGTTTTAGACTTCTGACCTCCAGAACTGTGAGGTTCTGTCATATTAAGTCACCTCGTTTGTGGTCATTGGTTGTGGCAGCCTCAGGAAACTAAAATAAATGGGACTATTAATCACTCTAATTATGAAGTTGCTGAGATGATCAGAATGTAAGGGACACAGGAGCTTCCTGCACCACCAGGTGTGAATCAGGTGTGTGGGGCTGCATCAGGAGCCCCCTGATGCTGCTGTTTCTCATACACCTGCCCCAGAAGAGACTTCTCTTCCTTCAGCAGAGAGTGCCAGGCTGTAGATTCATGTGGCTTACCCGTGTCCCTGGGGATTCCAGTATCTTCTTTTCTTATGTTACTTATGTACTTATATGTTTTCAAATGTGTTTAAAGTTTTAAAATATTCATTTTTGAATAGGAAAATAATATGTGTACTACAAGTACTACAAAAGATTACATGTGAAAAATAATTCCCCTCCCCCTTTCTGCCGTGTTTCTCCTGCTCCCCTTTCCAGGGACCCATTACCCATTTGCTGAGGTCCTTTTGAGCAGTCCTTTCCAATAGAACTTTCTGTGATGATGGAAATGTTCTTTCTCTCTGCTAATATAGCAGCTACTGCTAGCCACATGGGGCTATCAAACACCTGAAATGTGGCTACTATAACCAATGAACTGAATTTAAAATTTTTGTTTTAGAATGGATAAACAAGGTCCTAAAGTATAGCATTATAAATAAGCCATGATGGAAAAGATATAAAAAAAGAATGTATGTGTGTGTGTGACTGAGTCACTTTACTATACAATAGAGATGAGCACAACATTGTAAATCGACTGTACTTAAATTTTACAAAAGCTTGTTTAATCTTAAGTTGCCATGTGTGACTGGTTGCTATAGAGTTGGACAGCTCAGTTTTTGAGGTCATTTAGATCCATTGCAGTGAGTAGCTCCCCTCTTGGCTTTACGAAAACATGTTGTGTGTTGCCTTCTCGGTTTGCCGCTTCCCTCTGAGATGGTCTGAATCAGTCAGTCCATGGATCAGAGAGCAGTGCTGCCCCATGTTGGGTTGAATGAGGAATCCTGTCAGGCTGTTGGGCAGTCCTGTGAGGTACCTGGCCTGTCCTCCCACCCCAAGGACATTTGAGTTGTTTCCCATCCTGTGTTCTTACAGACTGTCCTTCAAGGAAGTGTTGGTGGGAAGGAGGCCTGTTGTCTTGCCCTGTCCCCTACCTTCCTCTTGCTCTGTACTGAAAGCCATCACAAGGGAGGAATTGCTCCAGGACTTTAGGTCGCGGGGCTGAAAGGACAGGAGCCCTCAGTCTGTTCGGGGAGCTCCCTTCCCAGAGCAGCAATTCTGGAATGTTGCAGGAAGGGCAGTGGCAGGGGGTGGCCCCAGAGTCGGCCCTGTGGGAGACTTGGGCACCACCTGGTCCCCACTGTGCTGTGAACACATGAGCATCCCAAGGGATGGGTCGGGACTGGCCCTAGAGCCTGAGAGGCCCGGATTTGACTCTAGACTCTGCCACTTTGAACAGCTGCCGTGTGGGTACGGCCTGCACCTCCTGGACATATGGGCCATACTGGTGTAAAAGCTCCTTGCGTTAACTAACTCTTAATTATGTTTAAAACGAAGAAACAAAGAGAAAACATATTAGCTCATACGACTGGAATGGAGAGGTTAGAGATAGAGTAGAGGTCAGGTATATCTGGGCCCGGGGGTTTCTCTCCATCTCTCAGCTCTTCCCTGTGTCATTTTCAGACACCATCTCCTTGGGGTGAGAAGGTGGCCACTAGTGGCCCTGGCGGTAGATCAGACCTTCTGAGCAACCCCAGCAGGTAGAGCACTCCCCATTCTCAAAGATGGCAGTGTTGAGGAATGGGAAGTGTTATGGGCTGAATTGTATCCTCCTCAAATTCATATGTTCAAGTGCTTACCCCACCGAACTGCCCCCCGCAACAGTACCTCTTAAAATGTGACTG